TGCTGGATTGGTTTTCAACTCTCTCTTTCTCTCTCATCGTCATCTGGTTAGCCTTTTTGCCACTATAGGTACGTGGGTTCTTATCAGGAGATGGCGTTGTGCTCTCTCTTTCTTTTGCCATTTTAGGTGCGTGGTTCCTGGAAGTTGATTCATTTTTGCACTTTCTCTTGGGTCCTATGGCTCCCATATCACCACCGGCACCGGTGTGGGGTCCTTGTGATTTTTTAAGGGGTGCAGTTTGTATAGTGCCTAGGCTCTTAACAATCAAATTAGAGCTTCCTTTCAACTAGTGTCGAGAAATGCGGTTTCAATATTGGAAATCTTTTTGATAGCTTTAAAATATGTTTTCATCGTTATTTATAAAGTTTAAAGCTTAAGAAATAGTGTGCATCGAGAGATCTATGAAAACTTGAAAATTGATGGTCCACAAATGTGTTACAAAATACATTATTTTTTAAACTTGAAATCCATTTTTTTTTATCATGTCCATGTATATTGATTCAAGATGATCAATTTGAGGATATTTTGGCATGTAACAACCTCTTCTAATAAAAGTTTTGAGGTAGGCTCGAATTTTATTGTTTAGAACCTCAACTCTATATAAACCTTTCCCTTTTTAAAGTGGTTAGGAGCACGTTGGTTTTTTTTAAAAAATAAGGGTGGCAATGGGCCTGGCTTAGACGGGGCAGGGTTATGGGTGACAAGGGATCCGACCTGACTCAGGACCCAGACTTGATCAGAGTCCAGGTATGGGTTCAAAAATTGAACATGACGGGTTAGGTCCGGATCCAAATCTTGGGTGCGACCGTTATTCGGGTCTAGGTCGGGTCTGAGTACGGAAATATTTTTTAGGTCCCAATTTATAAAATATATTTAAATATAAATAAATACATAGATATTTTAACTTTTGCATCGGGTCTGGCTCTAGGGAATTCGGCTCTGGTCAGGTCCAAGTCCCGTAACATTTTTTTGAGTCCAGGATTCAGATCCGACCCGATCCGTTGCCACCCTTAGGCAAAACTTAGCCCTGCTCTTGTATCCATAAGGCCTGGCCTTGGCCTTCTTAGGACTAGACGGGGCTGGGTCAAACCAAAACAAATGAAGGAAAAATGAGAAAAAAAGGCCTCGTTGAATGGGGCTGACACTAGCCCTCGGGCCACAGTTGTATCCCAGGCCCTGCTTGTTCAGGGCCTTTCCAGCTCGAAAGAGAATAGAGTTATGCATTGCTAATTAAATGGGTGAGAAGGTTGTAGAAGCAATTAAATTTTTTTTTTCTTTTAGTGTTTTGTGTAAAAAACTTAAGACGGTGAGGAAAATTTTTCTCACTTTATATCTACCAACGTTTTAAAATATGTGAGTTGCGTGCTATCTTGAATGATATATTAAACAATTCCTTACAAAATTAAAAGACATAAAATCACAATCAATCTCATGTAAAGCGTTTATGGTCATAAAAAAACGTTATGAATGTGAACCGTCAATTAGAATGAAGGAATGAGATCTGATTTCCCTAACTAAAGGGCAAGTGATTCGAGTCTCATGCTGAATTTTAATACAACAGCTAGGGCCGACTATTGAAGTCTAGGCCTTCTAATTCATGACCGCGTGTGCTGTTCTCCCACTGGCGCAGTACTGTACAATTACTTCCTCGGGCAGAAGATTTAATTGAGAGAATTTTATCGATCTGGAATTTTGGTAACCACCTAGATGGTCATTTTAAAATAAAATTAGACTTTGAGCTTTGAGCTTTCCAACACTCGGATCTTCCCCTTCAAAAATTGGACTGTTTCGATTCAATCTGGATCATTTTTTTCACCGAGAGTGCGATTTCGAAATTGTTCTTATTGGGGTTAGTTTTTCAGTTGAAGAGGTTGCAGCAACAAATTTTTATATCTAAAAATTACGGGTGGCAACGGGTTAGATTTGACTGAACTCGAATCCGGACCCGAATAGTATTTGGGTAAAAAATTTGGACCTATAGATGGGTCTCGAGTCTGGTAGGATCTATTGCCACCATATGACTATGAGTTTTTCTTTTATTATTATTATTATTATTATTATTATTATTATTATTATTATTATTATTATTATTATTATTATTTTTATATACCTTATGATTATTATTTTTCGGGTAAGTCAATGGGAGAGAAGGCCCCCTACCGGTTTTTCATTAATAAAATAAGAAAGAAACCAGTTATTATTTTACAACCTTATAACAAGGCAGTTAGGCCGGATCATGAAATAAAAACATGGAAATAAAGTCTGATGGTCTAAAACGCCTATGACTATGAGTTTCTTTTTTTTGCTAATATTATCGTAAATGTTGCCAATATTGTGATAGTATGAACACCTAGCGCATTTAAAGACATATGATTAACATCATGCACCTTATGATTACAAGTACGGGTCAAGTCTGACCATCATATACCCTATGACTACAAGTACGGGTTGGGTTTGGCTGGACCTGGACCTAGACCCAGACCCGAATAATATTCAAGTCCAAAATTCGGACCTATACCTAGACCCAAGTTCATGTCAATCCGTTGGGTCCCGAGTTTTGATCGGGTCCATTCCCCCGTACTAAAAATCCCATAGATTGAATTTTACCCAAGGGAGTAATGGGCATTGGAACTAAAAAAAAAAAAGTCATAAAATAAGATAATTTATGTTTCGTAAAGGACTCAAAAACAAGAAAACTTTTTGAACTTCTCACAACCTCAAGCTGTGATTGTTTATTATTATCCATTAGTAGAATCATCCTATGCATATGGGTGAGCGTAAGGCTGAGGTTCTACACAATCAAAATAAGACACACCTTCAAATAGTATTGAAATATATTGTTTTAGTATCATAAATATTTATGATGACCTTAAAATTTATTTTCATATTGAGTTGTAAAATTGAACGATTACAAAATATTGTAAATCAAGCATATCTACGAATACTTGAAAATGTTAAAAATTATCTGCTTAAATAACATATTACAAGATGCACTATTTTTAAAACTTGAAATCTATTTTTTCTCATGTCCATACATCCACATGTCGTGATCGAATTGAGGCTTTTCATCATCAAAATAACTTCTTCTAGTAAATTTTTGAGACGCGCCTTAATTCAATTGTTTAAGGCCTTACCCTTATATAAATTTTTTCCTTCATATATTCACATTTGTGGCTAACCATTTTGAGTTCATTGATTTTAGTGATGCCATTAACTTGTTCTCCTTTATAAAAGAGAAAAGGTCGGCATCTCTTAACATCAAGTGGTTATATAAAATTACATCCCATTTTTAATAATTTTTTAAAAATAGTTGCTCTTTTGAAAAATGTGTTGTAGCTCTTTTTATATATTCCTTTTTGTCAAGAAAAGGAGGATATTATTGTTCCTTCCATGCAGACGTGTGCCCTTATGGGCATGCTACTCCACGAAGACTTCCATTGCGGCTATGTCTCCCTCACTTGAAAAAGCTTTATATAAGATGCATGCGAACCACTTTTTATTTTTTATTTTTCATCGTTGAATGCTTCAATAATAGCTGTTAAATGTTGAATGGTGTTGTCACATATCTTGAAACATTTGTCTTGGGGTCAAAAGAAATTTTTTTTCTTCTTTTTAATTGTTAAGGAATAATAACAATTGGGTGTATTTTGTATAAGATTGCAACCTTAAACAATCAAAATAAGATTCACCTCTAAATTTTGTATTAGATATAATTTTTGTGTCAAAGGGGCTGTATGACAGTAAAATACTCGGGTAGCCAGCGCAAGAGCATGGGTTTGAGTCCTGAGAGCGGCCACTTTGTGTACAAAAAAGCTAAAGGTTAAAGCTGTTTCCATCTCACCTCTCTTGGGACCTTGCATAGGCCGGATCAGTATCGGGTTATAGCTTTTTTATATAATTTTTGTATAAAAAATTCTTAAGTTGGTGTGAGA